CTTTGAGACAGCATGGAGGGACCTGGAGAGTATTATGCTAAGTGAAATAAGCCAGTCAGAGAAAGACAAGTATCACATGATCTCACTCATATGTGGGATATAATGAACAAAATAAACTGATGAACAAAATAGATCCCCATAGAACAGACTGTGGAATCTCAGAGGGAAGGTGGGGGTGGGGGGAGTGATCAACCAAAGAACTTGCATGCATATGTGCATAACCCATGGACACAGACAATAGGGTGGTAAAGGCCTGGGGCAGGGGCGGGGGTGGACTGGAGGGGATCAATGGGGGGAAAAGGGGACATATGTAATACTTTCAACAATAAAGATTTTAAAAGGAAAGAAAGAAATTAGGACTTAATATTTTTTTAAAAAATGCAAGGTCCAGTGTAAGCCACTGTGATTTCAGTTTTGTACTGATTATTTCTAGCAAGTCTAATTTTCTCTGACTCAAAGCTTATAGTCTTCAGAGTTTCTAATTAAGTGTGATTTTTTAAAAAATCTATTACATATTGCTGTGTGGCTTTAGCCACTTTAGTTTTAGTGTATTTTGGTTATTTCTAAGTCTGCAGACGTGGTTTTCTCATTTATGAAATGGGGATAATCATAATATCAATGCCCCTCTCATAAGATCGTTGTGAAGAATAAGTGAGCTAATGCATATAAGCACTTAGCACAGTGCCTAGCACAGAATAATAAATTATTCAAGTTCAAATATCTAACACAAAAGGCCCTTTATGATCAGCCCCTCCTTCCCCCACCATCTCTCTAGACTCATTTCCCTTCAGGTCCTCTCTGTTCCAGTCTGCTTTGTGTCATTTATTTCTTATTCCTTCACAGAAGATGGTCCTTCCACCTCGAATTTTCTTCCTCCTTTCTTCATCCCTCCCCTCCACCCCCTCAGACGTCATTCTAGCTAATTCTTATTTTTCCTTGAAAATGCAACTCAACTCACCCTAGCAGGTTTGACTCAGTGGATAGAGTGTTGGTCTGTCGACTGAAGGGTCTTGAGTTCGATCCCAGTCAAAGTCATGTACCTTGGGTGCAGGCTCGATCCCCAGGGTGCATGTGGGAGGAAACCAATTGATGTGTCTCTCTCACTTCTCTCTCTCTCTCTCTCTCTCTCTCTCCTTCCCCCTCCCTTCCACTCTCTCTAAAAATCAATGGGAAAATGCCCTGGGGTGAGGATTAACATAGATAAATAAATAAATAAATAGATAGATAGATACATAAATAAATAAGCAACTCAATCTCATTTCATCCATAAAGCCTTCTTGGCTTGCTCCTTTCCTCTCTCTGCTTCCATCCCATCTCGAAGATATAACCAATGTCTTTTTTTGGTGTGTGCAATCTAATAAGTGCCAAATAAAGTTTAGTTGAATAAATGAGTGTGCTCTAACATCCCTTCTCTACTGATAAGTCTTCCTATTACACCCATGTCTGTGCCTTCTCTTTGCCTTCTTTTCTTTCTCAGTCACTTCCTGACCTCTCCCATCTCCCAAGTGAAATTCACTCCATTCCACACCCTTCAGACTGTTACTTTGTCCCAAAGAATGGCAGGCAGGAAAACACACTCTTTTAAGCCTGCAACCCCATACAAAAACAGATAAATATTAACATTCAATAATTCCCCCTATACAAAAACTTTTAGTGGTTTCCCCTAACCCTTGATATGAAATCTCAAGACCTCATCTAGGCCAGACAGGTCTTTTGTGTTCTGGCCTCTACCCTCCTCTCCAGCCCAATTTCATGTCACTTGCCCCCTTGCTCCAAGCAATTTGGCCACACAGAGTTCTCCATCCTCAACTACCCTGAGCTCCCTACTACTCTGGGGTCTTTGCCCATATTATTTCCTCTTCTTGAAACCTTATTCTACCCCCGCACTCCCTTTACCTGGATGACACTCTTTTTTTATTGATTTTAGAGAGAGGAAGGGAGAGGGAGAGAGAGAGACATCAATGCAAGAGAGAAACATTGGTTGGTTACCTCCTGTATGTGCCCCGACTGGGGATCCAACCTACAGCTCGATATGTGCCCTGACTGGGAATCAAACCGGCAACCCCCTGGTGCACAGGATGATGCTCCAACCAATTGAGCCACACATGCCAGGGCAATGTCACTTATTCTTAAATGTGTTATACAAGCTCACTGACACTATTAGACTAGCACCAGTGAACTTCAGTTTTATAAATGCGAATCATACAATATCAAAGGCTAAAAAAATGGCAAAATACCTTCAGAAGGTAATTTTTCATAATATCAAGAGCCATAAAACTGTTCACACTCATTGATTTAGACATCACACTTTCAGAATATATCCAATAACAGGGATTTCCACTCTTTTTTAAATCAGTCCATCCAGAATGTTCCCATAGATGGCACATTCATTCCTAGATTATAGCTAAAGCCTATTTGATCTAGGATGTGGATTATGTACAATTCCATTTCTTGCCACTAAAGAAAACACATTCCATTAAAAGATGTTATTCTGGGAATAATTCGAATTAAGTAAATAATTCACCAAATGCAGCATTTCACTTATTAATAAATTGTTTGGAAGTTCTGCAACCTATCAAGACACAGCAGTGTCTTGGCATTTAAGTTAAGAACTGTCATCGTTATGAAAGAATGAAAAAGTGCAAATACATATGAGTTGGGTAATCATGGTGGTAATAACATCAGCTCTTTCATAACAATTTCCTCATTGCCTCCTCACAAAGGTCCTGTAGGTAGAAAGAAGGGATTTATACTTTCTGGTCTCCAGTGGGGGAGCCAGCAGGGCATGATGGGTAGAACACGGCCTGGGGGTCATACGTCCTGAACCACAACGTTTTCTGGCTGTGACTCCTTGGGCATGTCATTCAACTCCTGGGTCTCATTTTACTCAAACTCCTTCCAGAGTTGTTGAGGGGTTTCAATGGGGTACTGGAGGTGAATGCACTCTGAGAGGTCAACACTGTACAAAGATGACCTGTGTTATTGTGCTGGCTCTGTCCCTGAGCTGGGACCGATAACAATGCTTCAGGTCCAAGAGGTGGCTTTCCCTTTATCCACTCATGTTGAGTAACACTCCAGGATTCCTAGTAGGTCTTTATATTGGCACCCTTAATCCAAGAAAACACAATTATAACAAGGCAAAATAAATATTTATTAGAAATCATAAAAGCATTTCTTCAAGGACACTAAAATGTTCTTACTCTATTTATGACTTCTTTCTTGAACATAGAGTCTCACACACACAAAACTAAGAACAAGTATGTAAATTAGAATTTACAAGGATAAGGCACATTCAATGAGAACAAGATGATAATTCTGCATTTGGAACCAAGGTCACAGTAAAGAACATGTAAATCAATGCAGAAATCAAGTATGGCTTACAGGCCAGGATGAGGGCCCCGCTGCCTGGGTCCCGCCCAAAGCAACAGGACACAGCTCTCCGGGCCTTGAGGAAGGAAAGGAACGTCAATAACACTGGGCTCTCTCGGGCAGGAGCCTTCTAAGAGCTTCATGACTTCACAGTACAACCTCGCACACCTCCTCCCACACCCCAGGGAGGAAGGTAAGCACCATTTTTATTCCAAAGAGATTCATCACATGATGTCTAGAATAATGGATTCTTCCTGAGGCAGAGTTTAGCTAAAGGAAAATTTCCAGCTCAGATCATTACCTGAGCATGGGAGATTCTATCCCTGGAAAATGCCTTTCCCTTAAATTGCTGAAATGTAAATCATGGCATTTTAACATGCCCTAATATGCCCATGGATTTAGTGTGGCCTGGTGTGTGTTTGTTTGTGTATGCCCACGGATTTGGTGTGGCCTGGTGTGTGTGTGTGTGTGTGTGTGTGTGTGTGTGTGTTATTTTATGCACATCTGTGTGCACACTTGAGTTTCAAATCTGTCATTAAGATCATAGGGACCATGTAGACCGTCAACATGAATCACCTGAGCAAGAAGCCATAGCCCGCTGACATATGCCAACCACAAAGGCAGACTCAGATTTACTGAGTAACGGCTTTTTAAAATGATGGTGCAGGGGGACATCTGTGCTCCAGAAATCTGAACACTCCAGTTTCAACAGCTCTGCTATGACTTCCTGCCTGACTATGAGTAAGTGTGCTTTCCTTTCTGAGCTTTAGTCTTAGGTGTAAAATAAGGGGACTCGTCCTTTTAACCTGATGCTCTTTGGCCCACTGCTTCCCTTCGCCTGAGAAACCCATCTAGGCTCAGACTAGCTAGGCTGAAAGCCTTCTGGGATGACTATCCAGTACAGCAATGGTCCTGCCAACAAATTCCATCCAGCCCCACAGCTTTCCGTACAAAGATCCCATTACTGATTTCTACTTCCCTAACCTCCCAAGAAATGGAAATGGCTTTATCCATGCATATGGGAGTCAAAGCAATTCTGGAATTCCCAGCTCCAATGTGTAAAGCATGGCGCCATGAACCCAAATGGCTGCCCTTCAAACCAAGACATCTGTTCTCGATGTATGTAAACGGGTAACTCCAGGTACAGGATGCCAATCTGCAGGCTAAAAGGACCTTAAAGTTCACCTGACTGTGATCTTTAACATCATCCCTAATAGGTTCTCAACCAGCTTCCACTTAAACATCTCCAATATCTAGAGCAGTTGTAGGACTGAATGGAACCAAAATCTTTCCCCTGAAATTTCCCACCTTTGGCACTAGTGCTGCCCACATCTGGCACACATCTGCTCCTCCCGCCTCCATGACAGGCCTTCCCTTTTCCAGAGGACATGCCTAGTCCCTGCTCACACCTGAGCCTGGTCTGACCACTGCGGTGCAGAGCATGGTTGGCGCCTGGGTCAGCTGGAAGGGCGCGGGCTGCTGCAGATGGTGTGGCTCTCAGGCTGCATCCTTGACCCATCCCATCTCTCCCTGACCCGGCCCATCAGGGGCACAAAGGCCAAGTTTCCACTCACCCAGGTGCTGGCACACAGAACAGCCCAGAGCCGAGAAACAGCCCAGAGTGGCTGCTTGGTTTGCACTTCTCCACTGGCCTCAAGTCAAATTAACTAGCCAACTGCCACATCACCTAAAGGCCAAATTCATCTTTGTGGCATTTCAAATTAAATTCATGGTTAATATATTTGTCATTCCGCCTCAACAATCCCCACATGAATCCCTTTACCAGACAACCGAGGCAGAGTGGCTCCAGACATCTGGAACATTTCTTCCATCTCTACTTCATTTCTGCCCCCAGACTGGCTCCGTGTGATTTCAGGGGGAGGAAATCAGAGGACGAGGCTCTAAAAGCCAGCCACTCATCTTGGCAAATGCGCCTTTCTCAACACCTTTTCCTCAGCTTCCAAACTCACAGTTAACAAGAATATTTAGTGCCAGAGCATTTCAGGTATTCTGTTGAATTCCTCCGATGAGAAACACTGATGTATGAGAGTCACCTCTGGGGTGTCAGGACATATAAATAGAGCAGTTGCTATTTCTGTTTCAGACGAGGCTGGGACCCAGCTCGGAGGCGGGCACTACTGCAGGGCCGGGGCGAGGAAGAGAGCCAGGCTCTCTCACCCCATCACAGCGTCCAGCTGGCTCCGGAGTCAGCTGCCAGTGCCGGGGCTGCCTCACACTGTGCATGTCTCATCTGGACTTTTGTGTGCGCAAAGAAAAGCTTTTTGTTTTTGCCCCGGCCACCCTGAGGCCTAGTACACAATACTTACATCCAGTCCCAAATCCTCAAATCTACTCCTCCACTTTCAAAATCATGTACTTCATCTGAAGTGATTTTCATTTAAAACTGAAATGTCCTTTTTCTATTGAAAATAAAATAATAATAATAATAATAATAATAATAATAATAAGTGTTAATTACACTACGAAAAGTCTCTCACTTTGAGACAGTTTGAGCCTTGGGGTGCCAGTGGGCACTCATTCCAAGGGTAGTTTCCTGTTCCCTGAAGGTTCTGGAAGGGCATTTCCATAACTCACACCCCCCCTCCCCCAGGAGATCGGACTTGCTCAGTCCCCTGTATGTTCTGGGATGGGACCAAGAGTCCCTTCAATTCAGAAGCCCCAGTCACAGCAGGGGAGAGGAGGGATGTGTGGGCTGCGGCTGGGGCTCCCAAGGACATGTTGGCAGGAAGAAAGTTCTGCTCCTCGGGCCCCACCCCTTCCCTACGGCTCCTCTCCCAGCCAAGCTAACCTGGTCACCAGCTGGTGAACCCAGGGATTTCAGGAACCCCGGGTTCAGGACTGCTGGCCATCCGTCTACACAAACTCTTCACCAAGTAACAAAATCCAGGGTCTTTTCCACGCAGAAAACTGACAACTGCCTCTCAGTTCAGCCCGAGGGTGCTTTCTGCTTCCAGGCGGGCAGAGCCAGCCTCCATCATGCAGCAAAGCCCTCAGCACGCAGTCCCGGACCAGCCTGCAGCACCCATGCGCACACCAGCTCCGGATTCTGCTGCTACACTGAAGTTTCCGGAAACTCATCTATTTCTTCGAACGCATTGAGGGTGGTTTTGCTGTTGCTCCTGGAAGAATCTTGGATTTTGTTGAAATCTGCTTTAAAACAAACAAACACTATTTTAGAAATACAGCAGTCTGCAAAATCGGTAATTCCATGCCTCACTGCACCACCCAGTTTGCCGCTGCCTGATTTTTAGAAGTTATTCCAACCGGGGTTCTAAAGCATCAGAATTGGAAGGGACCTGAGAACCAATTTAATTCAATCCTCCCATTTCACAGATGGGGAAAATCAGGGCCCTCAGACTCAGTTTGCCCAAGGCCGCACGGTCAGGCAGGAATGGCTGTCACACGTCTTACCTGTCCGCCTCACGGACCCGGGATCTTCGTTGAGGAAGGAGACGTGTGTTTTCCATTCAGTCCACTTCACCTCGTTGATCCTGCGAGTGTAAGAATCATTCGCACTGTTTCACAACTGCACCTCATTAAACACAAACAAATAGCACGGCCTTTGGGGGTCCTAGACAGCTCCCCTCTGTCTGCCCTAGGGATCAGGGTTTGAAACCTGCCCAAGTCCCCATTTTCCCAGGCCTCCGCGGCTCAGTCTCCTCCCAGTGTGTGAGACCCCAAAACTCAGAGAGGCATCACGGGGACATCTTCAGACAGCAGCAGTGTGCCTGACTGGTGAGGGCGGCTCTTGGGGAAGGAGGGAGGGGAGGAGGGGAGGAGGAGGGAGGGGAGATGGGTTAGGGCCTCAGCTGTGAGGGTGTGAGGATGAAAAGCATAGACGGTTAACTAGGGTTAAGGTGGCACTAGGAGGTGGTTGGGATTCAAACCCCCAAAGAGTGAGCAGTGCCTACAGCAGGGGTGGGCAAACTTTTTGACTCGAGGGCCACAATGGGTTCTTAAACTGGACCGGAGGGCCGGAACAAAAGCATGGATGGAGGCTATCTCAGTCAGAGAAATAGAAAGGAAGGTGGTCTGCAGGGTCAGGCAGTCAGATGGGGTAGGAAGAGGTGGACTGAGCAGGAAAGACAGTCATGGCAGGTGCAAGCACTTTTTTAAAATCAAAAAACGTGATATTTGTCAAAGGCAGCTGCCTCATTTCCATCGCCAGTGACAGTGTGCCTCTGTCCCCTAGTGTCACTGAAGCCACAGGGTGGACAGAAGGACAGAGTGCCCCTTGGAAAACCTTTCCTAAACCAGACACTGGAAAGGGAGAGGCTGTGGGGGCCCCTCCACCCCCACAGAGAGGGGATCGAGGCAGCAGAGTCTCCCTTCCTGTCCTCCTGCAGCTCAGGAGGCCTCGTCCCAGGCCAGCGACCCCAGAGGGGCACATTCGCCTTCTGGAGGGTCCAGAACAGAGCGTGGCTGTGGGCAGCACGCAGGGGCGGCACTGCTTCTCTAGCATTCACCACCCGGCCCTCCTGACCCCCCAAAGACCACCCCAAAGGGCCCTCTCCCTCTGTTACCGCAGACACAGCCGGAAATCTTCCTCTGCCACTTTACACAGCTCTCCTGTCCGGAACCTGCTCCTCAGCCATTCTGGCAGCATCTTCTCAAACTCCAAGATCGTCCTGGCTCTCTGGGGACAGAAACCAGCCTAAGCACGTCGCTGAGGAGCCAGCCCAGAAGCACAGTTGTGTGTGAGTGTGCATACATGCACACACACACATACACACAAAGTGCACACACACAAGTACATGTACACATCACACACAAGTGCATGCATACATAAGCACGCACACAAAGTACACACACACAAGTACATATACACATAAGTGCATGCATACATATACACACTAAGTACACACCCACAAGTGCATGCACACAAAGTGCACACACAAGTCCATGCACACATACCCACACAAGTGCACACGCACAAAGTACACACCCGCTAGTGCATGCACACATATCCACACAAGTACACACGCACAAAGTACACACCTGCTAGTGCATGCACACATACGCACACAAGTGCACACACACAAAGTACATGTATACACACTAAGTACACACCCACAAGTGCATGCACATGAAGTGCACACACGAGTCCATGCACACATACACAAGTGCACACACACAAAGTACACACCCACAAGTGCATGCACATATACACACACAAGTGCACGTGCACACACCACCAAACAGCCCACTCCACCCCCACTGGAAGCTTAGTGCATAGATCCTGAGGTTCAGCTAATCTACAGAATTCAAAAATGAAAAACCAGAAAGCTTGGGGAAGGTGTCCAAATTGCTTTAAACGTGACATAAACAATGTTTCTGGAAGTCCAGGCGCGTCCTAACTGAAAATGTTAGGATCCTGGGTCCCACAGTGACGGGAAGTGCCGGCGTCACATGGTCCCATTTCCATCCCAGGCTTGGAATCCCCTCGGCAGTTTTCCTGGCAACAATTTGTCCAATCGCTCCTAAATATTATCGACAAGCCGATTAAGAGGCCCTAATAACTAGAAACTTCCTTGTGTCAAATCAAAGCTTTTATTTTTCTTGCAGTTGCCCCATATACTTCAGTTCTGCCTTCTGGGGTAATAGAGAGAAGTTGCTCCCTCTTTCAAAAGTAGCTCTGCAGGTACCTGAAGAGATATCACCTTCGTCAAGCCTAGCTTCAGTGCCATTTCTTGTAAGGCATGGTTTCCCGGCCTCTGCAAAGCCTGCTCACCACCTCTGGCCATTACTGTAGTGGTGTCCTCTGCATGTAAGGCCCACAGTAGGTGAGGACTGTTGAGGTCAGGATGGAGGAGAGCAGCATTGACACCGCCATTGTGCTATACCCTTATACTCCTCTTGATGTAACCTAAGGTCACATTTCAACATCCACATATCACACCAGGACTCTGAGCCGAGCACCCCCATAAGCCTGAGTTGCTCTCACACCTGCTGTTGACCCTATACTCAAGGAACCTAGACGAATGCTTCCTCAAACCTGGCCAAGCACAGGGACCTTATGCAGATTCCTAGGCCCCGCCCCTGGTCCAACAGTGCTGATGGCCAATAGCGTGTAGTGAACTGAGTCCCCATGAAGGCTCCCACACCAGGGTCTCCACCAGGCTCACCTGCAGGCGCCAGATGCGCTCACTCTCCTTGGAGACGTTCTCAACTGTCTCTCCCATGAGGGCGATGAGCATGTTGAGGAGGAGGACGAAGGTGAGGATGACGTAGGTGATGAGCAGGAACAGGAAGAGGATGGGGTACTTGGAGTTCTGCTGGATGTTCAGGTCGCCCAGGCCTATGGTGAGTTTGAAGAGTTCCAGCACAGCATCGCTGAAGCTGCCATAGGAGCTGCAGTCCTTGTGGTCCTTGGGACACTTCTCAATCAGCGAGGCCAGGGCTGGGAGGACATCACAGGGTGCTCTCGTCAGCCTCTGGGCCTGGTTAATTACCCAACAAGCTCACGCCTACTTGCAGGTACACACACGCCCCCACACACTGCAGGCCTGCCTCCTGCCCGCTTCCTCTGGCTCTTTCAGTTCCATCTCTAGCCCCAGCTCTTCCAGAAGCCTCATCAGGCTGATTCTCTGCAGAAAGCCCTTCTTGCCTAACAAAGCCCATACCCTTCTGTGCCTCCTTTGCCCCACCGTCCGGCCCTTGATCGCCCACAGCCTTGCGGAGTTGCTAATTATAATCTCTGTGTGGCCCTGGCTCCCCATCCAGGCTTTGAGCTCCCGACTTCCTGTAGCCCAGGTCATCTCCCCCAGACTGTGAGGTCCTGAGTGTCCTCCCAATGCTCTGTAGTGAGATCCCCTGGCCGAGGCCTAAGCCCTTTCTTCTCTACAGAAGTGGCTCTTTGCTGGCTGGATGGCTAGGTGGGTAGGTGGGTGGGTGGGTGGATGGTCAAATTAATGAGTAAGTAAATAGATGGATGAATAAACAAGATAATGAAAGATCAAATAAATAGGCAAATTATGACACCGAAAGGGTATCAGGCAGATGAAAACAGATGCTTAACTTCAAATGCCAATGACCACTGGGGGGGAAAAACTAGCATGGAAATATAAAACCTTATCTCCCCATGCAGAGGTCAGACATAGGACCAGGTTGTGCTGTTCCCATCTGTTGTAAATGGAGAGGTTTTAAGAGGAGGCCCCCCATCCGTGGTCCCCAGCAGACCAAAGGCTCTCCCAGGTCTGTCTGAAGCGAACCCTGAGATAACATAATGTGGAGGGCCAACGGGGATTACCTCAATTCATTGCTTCCCTCCTAGTTTTCAAAGGCCATCAATCACATTTCTGTGAATTCATTTCCCCATCTGTAAAATGGGGCCCAAAACACCTGCCCAGCCTCTCTCAGGCTGTGAGGGTCACATGGGGGGATGTGAAAGTGGGAGGCATATCCCACAGTGGGGATGGATAAGAGTGACGGGCCTGGTCGAATCCTAGAGTCTAAGCCTCAGTCGCCTTATGATCAGGGATGATGATTCCCCCTTGACTGAGATAGAAATAAAAAGATGATGATTGGAAAATGCTAAGCACAGCAAGGCTCTGTTGGTAGCTGATGTAATTGCTGCTGGGGCTGCTATGTGCTCTGTCATTCTGACATCTGTATAAAGTGCTTTACAAATGTGGGAGTTACTATTATTTATAAATCAATTACCTACTCCGAATCCGAGTAAGAATACGATATATACAAACAAGAACTTCAGAACATCGTGCAAAATGACCTACAAAGAAAAAAGAATGATTTGAGGGCAAGATCTGAGGACAGAATCACGGTACACCGATCTCGCTGCTTCCCACGCTCTCCCAGGCTCCCACCCTAACCATGGCCTCAACTCAGGCCGTTCTCCCTTGCCCTTGGCCACGTCCCCCTGGTGCTCCAAAGCTCAGCTCTGGACCCCACCTTCTCCAAGAAGCCTCCTGTTCCTGCTCTCCTCCCTCCTCCCCACTCCCTCCTGGAAGACTGTCGGTCTCTGTCCCTGCGGATTCGCCCTGTCCATGAGCACCTCTCTTCACAGTCTCGAATCTGGGATCCTCCCTCTTTCTGGGGCAGTGGTGTGCTGGAGCCAGCTCATACCAGCTCACCAGAGCTGACTACTACCATTTCCTGAATTGTGTGAGCTGGTTGTGAAACATGGCCACTAGTAAAAATTAAATCATATCAACTTATAAGTAAATATATTATATGAAAAATAGAGATAATAGTCAAAACTCATCACTTCTTAGTTATTTTACTACATTTTAGAGTTATTTATGCTCTCAAGGTTATTTACATCTATTGTAGCTATATGGTGGAAATACTATTAATAGTTTTACTGTGCATCTCTTCCCAGCTCCGTGTTCAAAGATGTCATGTTGGTAGCTGGAACCGCTAGGGTGGGAGTAGTTATACCATAGAAATTGGTAAATGTGCCCGGCCGGTGTCACTCAGTGGTTTTGCATCGACTCATGAACTAGGAAGTCATGATTCGATTCCTGGTCATGGCACATGTCCAGGTTGTAGTCTCGATTGTGTGTTGGGAGTAGTTATACCATAGAAATTGGTAAATGTGCCCAGCCAGTGTTGAGCATCAACTCATGAACTAGGAAGTCATGATTTGATTCCTGGTCATGCCACATGACCAGGTTGTGGGCTCGACTGCATGTGGGAGGCAGCCGATCAATGACTCTCTCTCATCATCGATGTTTCTATCCCTTTCTCCCTCTCCCTTCTTCTCTCTGAAATCAATAAAAATATATTTTTTAAAGAAATTGGTAAATGCTACAAGTCAGAGATTGACTCATCGTTTTGTTGATTGCCTAGATCTATATGTACGATAGCAATGGAGAAAATGTTTAAGCAAATTAAACTTAAAAATGTTCCCTTCCTCTCTCTAAAATAAATAAAAATATATTTTTTAAAGAAATTGGTAAATGCTCCAAGTCAGAGATTGACTCAATGTTTTGTTGATTGCCTAGATCTAGATGTAAGACAGCAATGGAGAAAATGTTAAACAAATTAAACTTAAAAATATGTCCTATCTGTAGCTGCTCCATTGTGAATAACACAATAATAATGAAATCGTCTTCTAGTATTTGAACACTATTATCCAACTCAGGAAAGAAGTGGCTCACATCATTGACTAACAACTGAAGTTCCGCCATGTCTTCATTTTCACCTTCGTTTTATCCCTTAAAGAAAAATATCAACCAACACTTGTGTTGGAAGAACACTCGTTTGTCAGTTGAAACCATTGGTTAGCAACAGATACAGGCATTCAACAAAAATCAACAACTTACTCAGTGAGACTCAACTAGCTATGTGGAATTTACTATACAGAGTATTGTATGTTTTATTAGGAAGGAAACTGTGTACTACATCCTTTAAATAGTAAATTTTATAATAAACATGTATGTATCTGTGTGTGTGTGTATGTGTCTGTGTGTCTGTGTGTGTGTGTGTTTCCCAGAGAGCCAGTTGTTAAATACTTACCAGCACACCACTGCCTGGAGCTGAGAACATTCCTTCCCAAAGTGTATCCCTTCTCAATGCCCAACAAGCCCAGGCATTTTAGGGTCTGGACACTTAAAGCTGACCAAAGGCAAATGGAGACAGTGGCATTCAGAATAGAGAGCAGCAGTCTGCCCCATGGGCAAGCCCCCTTTGCTCTCCAGACCTCAGCTTCCCCATCTGAGAAGTGACCATCCTCTGAGGGCCCTCCCAGCCTGCACATCTCTGACGCTCGGAGGCCCCAAACGAACCTTCTGGATCATGACGCTGTACATGCCCATGGACTGGAACCCCCGCGTGTAGTAGAGCATGTTCGCCCAGCCCAGGGCCATGGCCAGCACGAGGCAGGCGAGGTACTCTTTGTAGGCAAACAAGTACAAGAAGACAGACAGTATCACAAGCACAGCTTGGACAAAACTGTTCAGGAGACACAGGAGACAAGGGCCTTACTTACTTCTCAGCATCAGGGCAGGTAGGCAAACCCCCCACCTCCCTTTAAACCCTGAACCGGCACCCTGGGGGCTGATGCTGAGGAGATGCATAAGGCTGCCCAGACCCGTCAGACTGGGCAGTCTGGGGCCAGCAGGGGGCTGGAGCAACGGACTTTTTAAAAGCACAGATCCCCAAGGCCCCACCAGATCCTGGTTCAGAAGACCTGGAGAGCAGCCCCGGAGGCTGTATGTGTTTCAGTCCCCACATGATTTCTTTGTTAAACCCCTCTATGATTCTCACATAGATTCATAGAGAAAGGCTGCAATGGATAATTGCATTTATAATCAAAATGATAAAAGCTGACAACATCTATACTTATAAGCCAATCATAACAAAAGTATCCTCAAACCTACTTTTTAAAAAATCTTTTAACAGCATGGACCAACCTGGAGATGATTATGCTAAGTGAAATAAGCCAGTCACAAAAAAAAAATAAATACTGTATGATTTCACTGATATGATGTCCTTAGAGTGGTCACATTCATAGAGACAGAGAGTAGAATGGAGGTCACCAAGAACTGGGGGAGGGGAATGGGGAGCTGTTGTTTAATGCGTATAGTGTCAGTTTTGCCAGATGAAAAGAAATCTAGAGATTGGCTGCACAGCGTTGTGAACACTTAAAAATGGTTAAGGTGGTAACTTTTATGTTATGTGTATTGTCCCACAACTTAAAATGTTTAAAGTACCACATATACCAAATGTACAAGATCAAAACCTATTCCTAAACAGTGTGTACACCATCAGTAACTCAGACATCTGGGTAAAAACCTTCTCTCGCTTATAACAGCAGACAGTCCGCACCGTTGGAAAATGACCGGTTAAAGCTAGGACACGGGCCGCCTTGTTTTTCTCGTGCAGTGAAAAGCAAATGTTGGGGTGATGGGTGCCTTTGGGGCTGAAGGGAAGAAGCACATCCACACCTTTCCCTACGCTAACAAAACAGCCAAGAAGCAGAAAAGCATGACCATGCACTGGTGCCTTTTGTCTGCACTGGAACCATTGGCTGCCTAAATGGTTTTTCTCTGGAATCACCATACTTTCCAAAGGGGACAAACTCTCATGTGACTGGCATCGGAGGGCAGTGCCGCCCCCCGCCCATCCTTCACTGCAGTATCTGGGGGCCCCACCTGCCCACAGGGATGGAGAACCCGGTTCACGCCTCTGGCAGGCAGGTACATCCTGAATGAAACACCTAGGCAGTTGGAAACAACGGGCCAAGCTTCCAGATCCTATAGACCCACCCTCCCGGAGAACTCAGAGCAGGAACCCAGGGGCATCCGCGCAGTGAGGAAGCCAACATTCTTCAATGCTCGCTGCAGGTTTAATCAGCCTCTGCTCAATCAGAGACAGGACCTCTGAGGTCAGCCGCACACGACCTCCTTCAGACAGGTCTGGGCTAGGCTTCCTGGCAAGAGCCCAATGGTAGCCAAGCCTGCACTGGCATGAGGAGAAGATGATGGAGAGGCTGGGACTGGCTTCAGTACCACTGAAGTTCCGAGTGACTGTGCGGGACTCACTTCCCTGCTCTGGGCCTCAGTTTCCGTACCAGCAGGTGAGACTCAATGATCCTCAAATACTTTCCAGCTCCCATCTGCCAGGGTCCAAGATGGTACGTCTAGACCCCATGCAACTTGGAGGAACTGGGCTGGAAGCCTCCATAAGAAGGTAAACAGCAGGGCTGAACCTCTCCGTGCCTTCCCCCAGCTGCCTGCCACCCGGGGCTCTGTGGCAGGGTGGAGTCAGCCATCCCTGCAGCCAGATGATGGGCACTGTCCTCGTGTTTTCTGGGCCTCTCTCTGGGCATCTATGTGTCTCTCTTACCAGAAGTGAGAGAGGCGGTCCCTCGCCACGGGGGTGGAGCAGAATGGCTGGGACAGGGTGACATGGTAGGGCACTTGTTTCAGAGGGACACAGCAACCACCAGATAGGACCTCAGCCCTGCCTGTGAGGTGGCGACCGAGGAGACGGACCTACTTACAAGACAAAGTGAAACCAGGCATCCGAGAGGATGGACTGCAGATCTGAGGGTCTCAGCAGGAAGATCGCGATGCCCTGAGGCCAGAAAGCAAAGAAAGGCTTCAGCCTCCGCCTGCCTCTCAGTGGGGGTGGGGGGGTCGTCTGAGGAAGGGGGTGTCTCCCCAGGACTGAGACTCAGTGTGTGAAGGCCCAGCCAGAGCCCAGGTGGGGGCTACTGAGGGGCCCTGTGGCTGGAAGACAGGTGAACCCAGGTGCAGGCTCCTCCGATCTTTGTGTATCTCTCACTCTCACCCTCACGCTCACCCCAGAACCTGCAAGGCAGCACAACATGTAGCTACCTGCCAACCCTTCAAACACAGGGATGGCAAAAGTAGGCGAATAATAATAATAAAGAATACAATAATTAATCAATAATGATACAAGAATCAGCTCTGTGTTTCAAGTGCTCACAACTGTGGACCTACATTTGCCCGCCCCTGTGTAGTCTAGCTTTCACCTTGGAGCTTAGTTCATACTGTTCCCCACGCCCGTTCGGTAATGGCCTTCTCCCCCATGTCCTCAGGCCCACTCCTACCACGGTAAGTGCCATCTCTGCACTAAAGCCTTCCCTCCTTCCCCTGCTCCCAGCAAAGGTCATCTCTTTTCCTCTGAGCACTGGTCTGAACCCAATGCAGGGCCTTTTCACAGTCTATCGCAGAGTCTAGAAGTTTGTGTCCCTCTGAAATCCCCTACCGGACTGTGAGCTCAAAGAGGACAACTTTCCCTCCTTACCACCTCCCCCAGGGCCCCACATGAGATGATGTTCTGAATCTACCTGTTGACTCATTGGATGGATTGATGGATGGATGGATGGATGGATGGATGAATGGATGGATGGATGGATGGATGGATGGACCAATCAAGTGATCAGTTGATAAATAGATGGAAGGATGGAAGGACAGAGGGTAAGGATGAATGGGTATTCAGATGGATGAATGAGTGGCTGGGTCACTGAGAGAGGGCAGGTGATTGAATGGGTGGACAGAGAGGAGAGGAAGATGGGTTGCTGAGTGGCTGGGATGGGTGGATAAATGGCAAATAGAAGGACAGATGGATGGAGGGGTACTTAGATGAAGTAGGTAAGATAGACCTGCTTATTTATTTCCACTTTGTAACTAAGAAATCTAAAGCTTAGAAGGGGAATGGCTCCCCAGAGCCCCCCAGCAGTAATGGCCGAGCAGGGTGGGATCAAAACCAAGCCTGCTGTCACCTGCCTGCATCGAAGGCCAGTCCGGAGGGTCTAGTGGCCCACTCACCTCCTTCACAGAAATGCACATGGCCCAGATGAGCACGAACATCCTTCCCAGGAGCTGCAGCCACCCCATCTTGTGCGTCAGGGCCAGGGGGTGCGGCAGGGCCTGAGAAAAGGGGGAGGAATGGATGGTGCAGGATGGGGGGTGAGGAGGGCAGGGGTAGTGCCAGCTCTGGAGGGACCTTGCAGAACCCTCAGGCGGGGCCAGAAGCCAGCAGGGGGCCGATCTCTGTACGGGGCTAGAGGAGGAATGGCAACCCCGGCCCCTGCCTTCCCCACCCACGCTGGGAATCCAGATCTCCACAGCGAGGAACATGCTAACAGCCCTCACCCCTCCTTACAGGAACCATCCATATCCAGACACTCACAGGACCTCATCACAGTCAAATGAAGCTGAAACTCTGTGCCCCGGGGAATGCATGGAAGCTAAGGCCGAGTGGTGGGAAATCTTGTATGAGTGACCTACCCCGCCCCCTCACTGCCCCACTCCCGTAACCTGCGGCCCTCACATCAGAAACACACAATCAGCTCTAGATTTAGACAGAGCCTGGGCTCTGGGTCTCCTAATTCTCTAGTTCTCCTCCCAACATGGGTCAGCCTGAGGCTGAGCACCTGGGGCTTAGCCCAGCTAAGCTCCGGAGACATATTCAGTTCCCTAGAAACTGTGAGGGACGACAATTAGGGAAGCCGAGGAAAATCTCGGCCTCTCTGGGCCTCAGTTTCCCCATCTGCACATGGGACGGCTCTAAAGGGGATAGCTCGTCTGAGGCTTTGCCCATCCTGTGGCCCAGCCAGGGGCAGTCGGGGGCTCCAGCCAGGGAGGCCCCTCGAGTAGTAAGAGATGAGAGTCAGGGTGATGTTGTAGAAGAAATAAAAGAAGAAGGACAGGAAGAACATGTACTTGGCAAACTTCTTCCACTTTATACGCAGCAGCGTGTGCAGGGGCTCCAGGGTCAGCATCTCGTGCCGGTTCTGGGGGTACACACCACAGTCACCACGGAGACGGGGAGAGGAACCACAGTCAAAGGCCCCCATTTCAAAGGAAGCGCTGAGACAGCACTGCCCTGCAGGGGGCAGTCATTACGTCCAATGGGCTGGTTCGGCAGGAAATGTCAGGAGAGTAATTTCCAGCTCCCGGGGCTCCTTGCCAGTGGGCCCAGGCGGCAGCCAAATGCCACAGGAGCTGGGCTCCCAGCAGGAGCATCTGCTGCTCCGTGGGAAGCAAGGGCTGGGAGGGAGAAGGAGTATGACTGGGGGTCTGGCTCCAACTTAGCCCCCCTTCACTGTGTAACCTTAGGAAAGCCCCCGAGCCTCTCCGGTCCTGCACCTCCTCATCTATACAACTGACATCAATCAAACTGCCCTGCCCTCTAGGCTGCCTGGAAGGTCCATGAAGAACCCAGACAAGGCAAGCTCTGGGAAGCATGATTCTTGATAAAATGTAAAGAGTGAAGATCCAGTCTGCTGCTTCATGTCCCCCCAAAGCCAAAAACTTCTCACTGCTGATCCTCTCTCTTCCCCTCGCTGCCCCCTTCTTGCCTCCTCCAAGGAGGCCTCCCTGATTGCCGGAACTATGCACTCCCTGTCCCTCACTTGGGGCCATGTTTGAGGGAAAAGGGAATTCTAAGCACGGCCATAGAGAATGAGTAGGGTGGTGGGGGAGAAGATCAACACCAGCCATCTCCACGCCCACCACCATATCCACACTGCCCAGGATTCTGGGGCCAGGAGACCCTCACCTAAGGAACCCTGGGAACAAGTGAACCTCACACAGGCCCTGCCATATTGTGCCAACTCTGTCCATAAGGCAAAGAAGTGGGGGATTGCAGACATGTCCAGCTAGTGGTCTTCCCAGTGTCCCCAGAGCCGCCCCTCCCCCCGTGCCCTTCCCCAGCCCCCTGGGAGACCCACATCAATGTTGGTATTGTAGACAATGATTTCCAGCACCGAGTTGTCTGTTGTGGTATCCACGTTGGTGAGGTCGTAGAGCGAGGATGATACAGGCCCATATGCCCAGTCGGTGAACTTCCTGGACAAGCTCCGGAGTCGCTTCTCCTTGATCTCACGACTGAGGATGTACTTCAGGATCTGGGGACAGGAAGTGGGACAACTGTCAGCCACAGGATGGAGCTTGGGGCCCAGAGACCCAGGAAGAGGCTCTTAAAACCCAGTTCAGTGAAGAATCTGGGAACTGACAATTATGAGAGATAATTTCTGTTTGGCCTGGATCTGAGAAGAAACGAGAAGTTTTTCCAGCTTCCCCATCCCACCCTCAATCAAGACCTGCCAGCTGAGGCTCACTGCTCTGGCCAGACACATGGAGATGCAAGACACCAGCCTTACAGAAAGGCGGGGTACCCCCTCTAAGTCAGTGATCCTCGAACTCTGCTGCATATTAGGTCACTGGGGAACATTAAAAAGTCCCACTCCACCCTGGCTGGTTTGGCTCAGTGGATAGAGCATCGGCCTGAGGACTGAAGGGTCCCGGGTTGGATTCCGGTCGAGGGCACATACCTCAGTTGCAGGCTCAATCCCAGGCCCGGTTGGGAGGCTACCAATCAATGTGACTCTCTCACATTGATGTTTCTCTCTCTCTGTCTCTCCCCCTCCCACTCTCTCCAAAAACCTATATAATAAAAGCATAATATGCAAATCGACCATCCAGACAACCATCCAGGACCACACTATGACACCCACTGGTACCAGGCCAGCCAAGGCGGGTGCAATATAATTGGTCGGGGGCCTGGCCATCGCCCCATGATCACCCACAGAGGGAGGCCCAGGCCACTGACCCAAGGGCTGCAGCAGGTGGGCAGGGCCTCCCTCTGCCAGGGAAGCCCAGGTCCTGGGTGCCGGAAGGAAGCTGGTGCCCACAGCCGGGGGAAGGAAGGCCTACTCTTGCATGAATTTCGTGCATCGGGCCTCTAGTAAATAAATAAATACATACATAGTCCCACACCGCTGACTCAATCCAAATCTCTGGAGGGAGCCCAGGCATCTGTAGCATGTAAAGCTTCCTGGGTGGTTCCAAAGGGCAGGCCAGATGGGTAGCCTGCTCTCCAGCTCACTACTCCCCAAAAGCTGAGTTTTGGGGTACCCTAGTACCCTGGGGGCCAGGGCTTCCCAAGGCACTAACCCAAGGCCCAGGAGGAGGGACCTGTTAAAGAGGACAGTGTCAGAGCCCTGATCTCACGTGAGACAGTGGGGTTCCCATCTCATCTCACGCGGGAGCCTTGTCTGCACAGCCCAGGCAGAGAGCTCCTAGGGACAGGACAGGTCTCCCCAAAGTCAGTGTCTGTGTCTTAAGCACAGAAACAGAGGAAGCGGGGGAGGGGGGCGGGAGAGACACAATTCCTCCTTTGTCAAAGCTGTTCTCCATTCCCTCCTCCCCCAACAAGACAATGAAAAGGCCCCTTGTGGGACCAGCCCTGACCACTGCACCAGGATCCACGGCCCTTGGGGCACCCGGTCCCCACCCCCCACCTTGATCTCAGACCAAGCCCAGGCACCAGGAGATGTGAGCCCACCCCAGCTCAAGTCTCCACCAAGGCTCCCAGGCAAGCCTTGAGTTTCACGGCCGCATCACGAGCACAAAGGGCCATAGTAGTCACGTGCTCTGCTGGGCTCTTGGCTCCGAGTTTCAACCTGAGGGGCAGGCTGGGATCTCTCCAGAGTCAGGACTAGCAGCCCATTGGCTCTGGACCCAGAGCAGCCATTCTGGGGCTCCTGTCCTCATGAGAGGCTGAAGGCCCCTAAGGGTCAGACACTCAGCCACACTCAGCACCTGCCACCCAGGAATCCTCAGGCACAGGCATCTGAGATTGTGTCCTACAGCCTTAAGGCTCCCCCACTCTGGCCCCAGAGAGGGGGCTCCCAGGGCAGGAGACAGAAGAAGCATGGAGTATGAGGGACTAAACTCCAGAGGGTGGGCCCACGCACTGCATCTCAGTGGCTCTGTGTGGTCATCAGAACAAACCCAGCTCGGGCCACAACTGCACTTCCGAACCTAAGAAGTTCCCCTGCCGAGGAGTGGCCTATGGGGCCCCAGGCTGGCGGATGGTAGAGTGCCTCCTACCCTCCCACCTGCCCCCAAGCCCCACCTCGGCCTTGCCCATCTTGGCGGCCAGCTGCAGCGGGGTGAGGCCGTCATTGTTGCGCATGGTCTCCAGCTCCCAGTTGCCACTCCTCAGCAAGATCATGTCATACATGCGCTTAACGAAGTCATTCTGTGTCTTAAAGTCTTCGGCCACCGTCACCAGCGCATGTAGGATGTTGTTGCCCCGTGAGTCCTGCGAGGTGATGTCTGTCTGCTCGTTCTCCATCAGCAGCTGCACGATCTCGGGCTGGTTGGTACATGCTGCCAGGGCAAGGGGTGTCTCGCCTGGGGGAGGGAGAACACTGGGGCTCAGTTCTCTCATGGAACAGGGTGGTGTTCCCCAGGTCCCAGGACTGAAGCCCATATCCTGACCATCTCAGTAGGATTGACCCCTGAGGCTTCCTGTCCCCCTCCCCAGCTCCCCTTGTATGGGAAGAAACTGAAGCTAGATCATTGCAATAACCCCTTTTATTAAACACACCAGGCATTTTCCTACCTCAGGGCCTTTGCACAGGCTGTTCCCTCTACCTATAATGCTGTTTCTCAGATATCTGCATCACTCCCTCCCTCACTTCCTTCAAGTCCTTGTTCAAATGTCACCTTTTCAATGAGTCACCCTAACTGTACTATTTAAAACTGAACTCGCCCTAGCTGGTTTGGCTCAATGGATAGAACATCAGCCTGCAGACT